TATTCCGATCATTGAAAAAGGGAAAACGCTGTATACTTACCGGCTGACCAGCTGAAGGTCTGCGCAACTACCTGCAAATCCCCTTTGGTAGATCCTAGGGACCATCGTCCCTGTGGCCCTTTCCCAAACCAGTCTCAGATTTCAGAGGAATGTACACACCTTTATCTATCTGCCAGTATGTTATGATCTCTCTCCGTTCGCTTCTCGGTTTCCTCGATTATTTCTATGTTTATTTGTATTTCTGTTCGCCAAGATTTTTTTTTTTGCTTGCCGTATTGTCTTCAGTAAGATTCTATACACATATTCATTTGCTTTTACGTTACACTTTTTAAAATCTCCATTTGTTCTATATGTCTTGTGAATTCGTTTGTAAATTCACTTGAGAGCATTTTTTGTGGTTTGTCTCCTCAAAAGTAGGCTTGACTGATAAGTGAAGGAGATATTCCGATATTCGACTTACGAAACATTAAAATATTCGACTTTATTTCAACATTACATTTTTCCTCAAGTATTCGCTGTTTGTATAGACTATTACTCTCATATATCAAAGAGCATTACCAGATTTCAGCCTAGTCTTAAGCGTTTCATATATGAAAACTGGTTGTTGCAACACTTACCTGTCCATGGGGTGCGTATGTAAGAGATAGCGAAGGACTTGACCGAAGCGCCATGATTGAGTCCCAGTGCTCTGACATTAAATTTCGCAGTACCTTGAATATAACTATTTAGAGGAGTTAGGGAAAGGCATGGGATATGGACTGTTTTCTGTATGAAAATGCGCCTGCTATATATTTCCATACAGCAATATCAGAAGTAATTTGTAACCTTTTAAAATATTCTTCCTGTCATATACATATATTCATAAACTTGAAATGCTGTTACCGTTTACCTTCTCTGAACTTTACACTGGATATTATTATAAGATGCCTTGGAGCAAAGCCTAGCAAGCACGGGCTTTTCAGAGCACGTCGGAGCCTGTGATAACACTGAAGTCTTCAATGTTAAGCTCGGGATTAAATTTGCATACGATTACCTCCAGAAAAGGATACAAGTGGACTTTTACACGCATGCAAATTTCATGTGTAATGAATTTCCTACTCGTACACCATACTATACTAAAAATGTTAACCTTTTTGCTTTGTTTATCTTAGTAGTTTTATTGATTTCTACCGGAATATGGAGTGACTTGTAGGTGAGATTCAAGATAACTTTCAGTGCAAATAAAAAAAAAAGTAATATCACATATCTTAGCACTATCTTAGTCATATGCCATGTGATGTTGACCGTCTGTAGCAGCTTGTCATCGTCTGTAGCAGCTTGCCATCGTCTGTAGCAGCTTGTCATCGTCTGTAGCAGCTTGCCATTGTCTGTAGCAGCTTGCCATTGTCTGTAGCAGCTTGCCGCCTTTGTTTAGTGGGGTTGTGTTCGCAATTTTTATGGCTTCTGGCCTGTCACCAGTATATAAGCTGTTTCTCCACAGTACGCTAATACTAGTGACATTTTGCAATACTTTATTAAGATGAAGTTCTATTCTGATGATTTATCTAATGAAATTCCACAGCTGCTGTTTGTGTGAATGAATTCCGGCATTGTGGTGAAGGCGCAGCAGGTTGACACGTTGACCACCAGATGCTCTGCTGAGCCACGACTTTGTGGTAAGGCGACATACCTGTAACCGGTTTAGGGAGTTTTTCTACCTTTAGCAGCTTGACCTCCGGTCATACTTCCCTGGGCATTTGGCAATATAGGGGACAAAAAATTGAAAACATACACCAGGTAATGGAAATGTTCTTTGATTTTTTATTGTTAGGTATCTCGCTTCACTAGGTGCAGATGCTAGCAACTAATGAAGTAGAAATAATATTATACACTATACATAAGCAGTCACTATATAGTATTATACACCAAGTGAGACCACTAAAGATTATGCTTTCTCTTTCTTTCTCTAAGTACCCTTATGCAATTCTTTTATCAGTTTGCTGTAACAGGAGTCAGGACCCCCTGGCTCTCTCCAGTCACTACCCGTAACTCCACAAAAATCTCTGCTTGTAAAAAGACAAAGTCGTTAAGGAAAGTTGAGATAGGCAGCAAATATCCATATGGCTAGGTTGAGGGACCTGTTGACGATTTTTTGCATTGATAACCCAGGACGAATCGAATGGTCATTAGTTTTTTTTTTCCAATTTGTGAGTTATCAAGAACACTATTTCACAAAGTAAGAACTAAAGTAAACGGTATATACATAGAGATACACACTCGTGTGTGGGCTATTGGATTGGCCGTTACCCCTTAAAAGAGGTATGCCTTGATCCAAGGAATGGGAGCTACCCTCTTCCGTGCATTAAATCTTACCTTCCATTCCTCAGGCACTTTATGACCCTTACAGGTTTACAGCTTCCAATTGAATGTTGTTCCTTCAAACATATTTGGAATAAAATAAAATAAAAAATATCTAAAACAAGTCATGTACACTTAAAGGTTATTTCTTAGGAATGTTTGTGCGGTAACTAGGAGTTGCAGAGGTGTCCTCTGGGCTCTAGAGCAAGTCCCATACGTGTAAACCTCAAGGTGTCAAGGTTTACATGTATGGGACGCGCTCTAGAGCCAGGAGGACACCTCTGCAGCTCCTAGTGGCCACACAAACATTCCTTAAGAAATAACCATTGTCCTCAGAATACGGAAAGTGCCTGTTTATAAGTACAATACAGAAAGTGCCTGTTTGTCAGTACCCACCTTAGCTACTCCATGATCCTGCACCGTCCCCTGCCCCGCTGCGCTGTATGATCCTTGTAGGCTTAGGAGTTCTTTTTGGTTATAATAATGTCTGTAAGTACAATACAAAAAGTGCCTTAGTAAGAACAATACGGAAAATACCTGTTTGTAAGTACAGCATCACTACGGGTAAGTGTGCCTAGCTTTATATATTCCAACTCTTCAACGTCATCCCTTCATGCATAAGAGGACTTGCCAACACACCCCTAGCTGTTTTCAATATGGAACTCTACAGATTCCTTAGAACAGTTCCTGATCAACCGGGTTATGGTACATAGGTTGGAGTGCGGGCGGCGGGCACTAGCAGCTAGCCAGGAAGGAGGTCTGGTCTGGGACCGGGCCACGGGGTCGGTGATCTCGAGAAGCGACTCCAGGTGAGCGTGTGCGCGCATACCTATATTTTTCGATGGACATTTACATGTTTACATATATTACACAAAGTGTGTACGCGTCTACGTATCTTCAGATGGATGTGTGTACGTACATTACATTTCCAGACAAACGTCTCTACGTATCTTCAGATGTGTGTGTGTGTACATACGTACGTACCTGTACAAGCTGAATACATTCATCAACAGCAAATACCCTAATTAATATATAAGAATTCAACATAATTCATGTATTGTTTATACATGAAAGTATTGGTAATACCGGTACATATAATAAAATGATTTACTGCATGTTTTAACACAAAAATTGTAATGCGCATTAATATTTAATTCTTGTTCTGCAATAATGCAGTCGAGCCAGCAATAGTAGTCCATATCATGTTATAAAAGTTTCGTAATTATAACAAACCATATAAATATATATAAAACTTTATAACTATCAAAAAAGAAGAGTATCGCTGTTGGCAGCATTTAGTGTGAAATTATTGGATTTGTCTTCATCTTTTTTCTGGTAACACTAACAGGGATAGTTTGTTGTTTAAAGGCGAGAGAACTGAACAGCAGGTATGGAAACAGTCATCATGTTTTATTATATTTCATGGAGGAAGGCTCGGTTAAAAATATAAAGGAGGAACACTGCAACAAACCTACCGTCCCATACTTGGCAGATCCCTGTCAAATTCAAATTCACAAAAAAATATTCGCATAACCCATTATCAGTGTTTATTTTTCTGTCTGAATAATATAATCCTTTAGTTGTCGACATACCCACCGCGTATGTTGCTTGTGTGGCTGTGGTGAGGGTTAAACACATCACACACACCAAACACATGACACACCTGAAAAACACTCCACACCTACACCAGGGGCTGCGTCAGTCCCAGCTGCTGGGAGTGTAATACAATCATTTACTGAGCCCCTTCCCTCTCCCCACACCCCCATCTGTCTGTCTGTGAGTCTAGCTGTCTCTGTCTCTCTCTCCCTTACCAGCCACCCATCCATCTGGCTAAAAAATTTTAAATCGTAATTGTTGGGATTATTTTCTTGACGATAACTGTGCTCGTTTATAAATTACATTTGGTTCTAACAACAAATTGGTAAATGATTTTTAGTTTGGCGAAACGCTGCGGACAGGTAATAGTGAGGGAGGAGAGCAACTAGCTTGGGGGAGAGAGGCGGAGAGTAAGGGAAACTCGCAAGGGGAAGGAAGGGGAGGGGGGCAGAGAGCAACTTCTGAGCTCAGGTGCATTAAGCCTTGGCCACGCCTGAGGTTAAATGTAGTAATTGTGTGTACAGTAATAATGTCAGGATTACATCTCTCTCTCAGTGATTCTGGCATCTGGAATACAAAATACTACTGTACTTGAATATGAAACCACCACATCACACAGTATGGTAATAGTGCGAATTCTGTAGGTCTGCGTAGAGACCCCTCTATAACTGACCGATCAAAGGAATTAAACTTGATCTCCCCTTTCTTAAATCGAAACTGGTTTCTCACATTCCCCAGGCTCTGCATGACCCTCTACGGACTCAGCGTTTCCCCCATAATATAATAATAATTATGTAGATTTTCCGGTTTTGGTATCTTCTATGTATGTTATCATTCATATTTATGACAAACATAAATGTATGGCAGCTTCCCTAAGGGAGATTCCTTGAAACTGATGAGGGCTCACAATCCAAGGAATTGAACCTGCCTTCAATTTAACCCGATTTCATCCCATTTCCCAGGTTCTTCGTGACCGCTACGGATTTAACTCTTCTCTGTGATAAAAAAAAGTGGTTGTACCTGTGCTTGTGAGGTGAGCTAAGCGTATTATTATTCTTGGTTCTCAGGTGGCGGGCATGGCTGGGAGCAGCTGGGGTGACGCTGAGTGGGGGGACCCTACTGACTGTGAATGTGGGGGTCCTCCACCCCCCACATTCATGCTTCCCCCTCCGCCCCGCCCTCCACCACCCCCTGACGACCCAAACGAGGAACAGGGAGAGTGCGAGGCCCCTTTCACCTGTCCTAGCCTGCTGGGAGCCCGTGAGGACCACAGACCCACTGCTGGCAGGGCCCCCATGGCGGTCGTCATTGTCTCCGCCGCAACACTCGTCGTTCTTGTCGTCGTCGCCGCTTTTATTGTCTGCAGGTTAGCATCTTGTGTGTTTTTATATATTTAATTTTATAGGCTAAGCTCTTTATCCTACCTCAGTTCATTTCAGTGTCCATCTCTAACGATGGTACACCTCAACAGTGTACACTGTGTATAAATTTACTTGAGGACCCCCCCCCCCCAAATCCACCTGTTGCTGCTCTTGCATAGCTCCTGATGTCGCATGGAGATGCATGAAAGATCTTGAGCTGAAGATTTCCATCCCTTTCCCTTGGCTTGTCTTGCATTAAGATCGCCTGTCTGCGATTGTATTGCATATCATACATACACACATGGGGGGGGGGTGAAAGAATACCAACGTGACAATCTATATATAATAAAAAGAAAACAAAGTTATTTGAGTTTAGAATATGCAGAATTGAGGTTAAAGCGGGTTGTAACATCATGTGGGACAATTTGAGGCCTTTTACGAAAGTGGTTACTTCCTGGTGTAATTGTCCTGCCATTTACCTATATCCCACTTAAACTTAAACACGCTCTAAAGACACGGCCCTAGAGGATTATAGACGGGCGGAAGCTCAATTATAGTACCCTCGCTGTGGCTGGAGGTGGGTCAAGTGTTCTTGCCTATCAGTGTCTTGCAAAACATCTTGAGCTAACCCTATTCTTGTGGAGGAAACGGGCATATTACCCTTGCCACCAGGCAAAAAAGTGGTGGTATTGCGAATAAGTTTTGTAAATAGTACCTATTTTTAAATCTTTTATAATTATCTATTTATTATTAATAATATTAATTTTTGAAGGGGTGGACCGGTAACACTGGTCAACAATTTTTGAAAAGTTGTATGCTACTTAAATGAGATTAGTTAATTCATATGTGTTTTCATGTTCTGAATCAAAATATCACCTGAAAAATGCTTATTGGCTATAAGTTTAAAGATACGAGACATGTAATATTTTATTATTTTATTATATACAATATGTGTCAGTATGTTTTAAACTCTAATCCGTACCTACTCTTCGCCTTTTTGCTTGACGCTTATAGTGGGCTGAAGAATCATCTCTTGCTAATGTCCAGCAATAGTCTGCAAGCATTTGTGTGCCCCATTTGCCCTGGTACCATTTTTCCATGGTTGAAATATTTTGGTGAAACCTTTAGCCATGTTCGTCACTAACTGCCCCACAGTTCGCTGGAAAAAAAGTCTAAATGTGAGTCCAGAAAGTGGATTTTAAGTGACATGTTACATCCCATGTTCTTGTAAGCCTTGATGAGGTTTTCCACCAATTCTTCATAGTTGCCTTCCCTTCTGTTTCCGAGAAATCCCATCGCCACTAACGTGAATGTTTCCCAAGCAGCTTTCTCCTCCCCATGAAGGTCTGATTCAGTCACCATCTTTAAGAAGCTCTCGAATCTGAGGACCATTGAAGATTCCCTCTCTTATCTTAGCATTGCTCAGTGGAATTTTGATGTTTAATACTTGAATCCCTGACCGGATTTGTCCATATCTTTTACAAAGTTTTTCATGAGCACCAGTTTTATGTGTAGTGGTGGTATCAAAATTTTGTTTGGTTCAATGAGAGGTGGATGTTGAACATTTTGCATCCCAGGCTCCAATGATTGACGATGTGGCCAGTCTCCCCTGATGAAATGGAACCTCTTGCACGGCTGTCCCATTCACATAGAAAGCAGCAGTACTACCTTCTATGACTGCTGGAACAATAATGAAGGGCAGTGAGACTGTGAGTGTGATAAGAAACACTGCCGCAACCTGTTGGAACCTGCTGTGACACATATATTGAAAAGTAGAGCTAACAGTTTTAACCATGATATTCATTATCAGTGACCTAAAATTAGTTTGTAGATGAATGGTTCATAGAACCGACATGTTGATAAATTAGACACATGTGCAACTCTTGGGTATCTTTATTGAGGAAACGTTTCGCCACACAGTGGCTTCATCAGTCCATACAAAGGAGAATCTTGAAGAACAGGAGTAGAATGAGGTAATCAGTCCCTCAACCTTGAGTCGATGTGGTCAGTCCATCAGTCTTGAATAGAATGATTCTCGGAAGCATTTTGGTTGTTGACCAGTGTAATCTAACGGAAGGCCTTCGTCAGATGACCAAAAGCTCCAGTGGCCGGTCATTACATGACCGAGACTCGCGTCATGAAACGATTGTCCTGTTTCCTGATGAATATTACCTAAATCTATTTGTAGTTGCAGTAGTAGATATAGCTGGCCAAGGGCCGGACTCTAGAAATAGAACTCTCGATACTTAAGAAAGTTTATCTGACGGATAGGTAATGCTTACATTACGTTTCCAGTGGTTGTGGCACTTTCCACGTCTAACTGCAAGTTATTTCTCTCGTCTTCACTGTTATTTAAGCTTGTTGCTTCGGTCTCTTTGTTGCATATGCTCTGGCATATGCAGTAATAAGAACCTGGATGCATTCACTTTAGTTATGTGTGTGTGTGTGTGTGTGTGTGTGTGGTGTGTTGCTGTTGTGTGTGTGTGTTGTGTGTGTGTGTGTGTG